CGTTCATTTACTTGTCGCGTACAACTAAATGAGAACTGTTCAAACCCTTGTTGGTACAATAGACGGAAATTTACTAGAAACATTACACTGTGTTAGGTACAGGCTAGTAGTAGTGTCTATTTCCCAACACTCCAATATAGTAAAAGCTTACGGCATGTGTTGTATTTCGTTACTCATGTGCGTACAACAAATGCAAACACTGTTTCAAAACATGTGTAAAGGGTGGTGTCACGACTTAGGAAAGTGCAAGGAAACAATATGAGTGTTTAGGGTATCAGCTAGATAGTTTGCCCTATCAATTCCACTATAGTCACAACTGGTTCAGGCATCCTTGTGGCCGTTTGGTCCGTTTTCATAATCATGTGCGTGCAACCAAATGCGAACCCCTGTTTCAACACCCGGGTGGTAAAGAAGGGAATATGTACTAGAAAAAACATTGTTTAGGGATACGAGATAGACTCTAGTATGTTGTAGTAGTTCCAACCGCACATATAGTCAACGTGTAGGCAATGTTAGTTTGCATTTCGTTACTCAGTGTTGGTACAACACTGCAAAATGTTCAAACCCTTGTTGTAAAGGGTGGTTAAAGAAGGACCTAATGCAAGGAAAATAAGTGTTTAGGTACAGCTAGATAGTACTGCTATTCCAACCTCCAACTATAGTCAAACGGTAGGCATTGTTGGTTTGTCATTCGTTTACTCAGTGCATAAAAAACAAATGCAAAACTGTTCAAAACCCTGTTGTAAAGGGTGGTAATAGAAGGAATTGCAAGTTCTAAACTCTCTCTTATTGAGCTGTTAGGTACAGCTAGATAGTCTCTTGCTATTTCCACCACTTAAACAAACCCTACGTCACAACCCTTTTAGTTTAGCATCTTTCGTCGTCTCTGGCCTTACGGTGAATAGTTTCGGTTATATACACTGTGCATACACAATGCCACTAACGTGGTTCAACGCCCGGTTCTAGGTCTTATGCAGCTAGGATAGTTTGCTATCCACCCTCCAATTAGTCAACTCCCATACTACGGTTAGGCATGCTTACAGGGTTGCTCATTCGTTTACTCCCTTATTGTAGCCGAGGCCTGCACCATCAACAGAAGGACAAAGGTTCGAAACCCTTGTGGAAAGGGAAGAAGGGACCAATTAAAATAGACTGGGCGTGTTAGTTACAAGTCGAGCACCAGAACTTCACTTCAAGGGCGGAATCCTAAGTCGCACTACGGTGCGTGATCACAGACTCTTACGGTCTAGTCCGGACGTGGCAAGGAACGAACGTCACGGTGATGGTAGTATAGCGAGCACGCCAAATCATCTCAATTTCGACTCACCCTCCAGAAGCCTAGTGGGTTGAGACGACTATGCCTTCGCACCGAATCTACTCAAACCTACCGCAGTCAAATTGGATCAGCGGGGACCTCCTCGGATTCACCGCCTCAAGGAAATGAACCAGCGAGGGGGCGATGAGAGGGTAGGGCGAGTTAGAGAAGTGGAGGTATCCACGGGCAATGACATCTTAAAGACGCTTGCGACGTGTTATGCATAATAAGTCGCCGGAGACACCGCGATGCTCGGCACGCTCCGTATGAGAGGTACGCCGTCCACTTGTGACCAGAGAGAGCACTTATTAGTGAGTGACGAAAGCATAAGAGAGCTCCTGTATACAGCGGCCGACTGAACTGAAATATTCAGTTGAAACAATGAGGCGGCTAGAGCTGGATAGCATAGCTCAGCCGTATCGATCGGCCGGGAGGCTGCAAGAAAGAGAACGACATAAAATAACGAGAGACATCTGAAAGAGTGTTGAGACCGCCCAATTCTCTTCCACGGACTAGCGACCCCGTGACGAGAGTGAAGGGCGGCTCCATAAGGCCGTAGATGTTGGATGCATCCCATATGAACAGCGTTGAGATGAGGCCGCGCGCTATGAACTCAGGTCCCCTGAGACCAAATCGCTCAGCCTATGTAGCGGTTCACGGTTGGTATGGAGTTGAATGACAGGAATTGCCCAGGCGTGAAGGAGCGGTTGATAAATGGACCTGCTAAGGACAGATCATGCGAAACAGGCACGACGACCCCTGCACAATGCTTATGTAGCGACACAGCTGACGTCTGATCTTTAAGACGTTAAGATGTGTTCGCTGCGGACGAGCAGTTCTAACCAGAGGCTAAGGGGGAGATCGGGTACTCTCAGAAGCTCGGAGCTAGAATGGCAACCGCAGCTGTGGATGTAGGAGCGCGTGAACGGATACATGCTGGCCCGAAGGTACAGACCTACCATTAGTAAGGCGTCAAACCGGAAGGGTAGAGAAGTACATTTCGCTGCGCGGGAATGTCAAGGCCAGGCCCCGGACGTGGCATCAGGAGGGCTGGGCACTATCCAAGGCCATGCCCCCCCTCCTGTACTCCGTCTCCAAGTCTCCCCCCCACCCCCTTTGACCTCTCTCTTCTCTTCTCCCCCTTTTTTCCCCCCCCTTCAATTTATTTCTTTTCTTTCTTTTCTCTTCCACCTCTCCCCTTCCCCTTCTCCCCTCTCCTTTCTTTCCTTCCCCCTCCTCTCTTTCCCCTCTCTTTTTCCACACCCCCCCCCATTCCTCCCCCGCCCCTGTTCTCATTTCTTTTTCTTCCCGTGAGACCCACCTCCTTCTTCTCTCCCTCCCCCTTTCCCCCCTCCTTTTCTCTTTTTTCTCCTCCCTCTTTTTTTTTTTTTTTTTTTCTTTCAACCCCCCCTTTTCCATTTTTTCCAGCCTTTTCCCCCCCCCCCCATCTTTCCCCTCCCCTCCTCCTTTTTTCCCCCCCCCCCCCCCCCCCCCCTTTTTCTCACCTTTTTTCTCTTTCTCCTTTTCCCTCCTTCCTTCTCTCTTTCCTCCTCTTTTTCTATTCTTTCCCCTTTTTTCCCCCCCCACTCTTCTATTTCTTCCTTTTTATGCTGTTCTCTCTTTTTTCTTGTTGACTTTTTTTCATTTTTCCCTTCACTCTTTTCTCTCTTCTCTTTTCTCTTCCCCCCTCTCTCCATCTTCCTTCCCTTACTCCATCCTTCTTCCTATCATCTCCCTTTTCTTGCCTCCTTTTACCATTTCCCTATCCTTGCTTTCCCCCCGCCAACTTTTCGTTTCACCCTGTATGTCCTTTCTATCCTATCTCTACTTTTTCCTTCCCCTTCTTCCACAGCGCTTTTTTCCTTTTTTGTCCTGTTATTTCGTGTGGTTCTCACTACCGACCTTTCGTTGTTGGATCGTACTGTCAATCGCCTGATCCCACGCGGACAGAACAGTTTTTCATAACAGCCTATGACAGACCTGTCAGTCATCTAATGTGATGCATCCCCCCTGCTTTTCATTCGGTTACGCTGCTTACAAGCTACGGGTTCCATTTAGTGTGGTCCTGATATCCTTCACTGGCCCTCCCTTTCGTGTCCAATTCCCAGTGGCACATCGCTAGTACTTGTGTACAACATCTTCCCCCTGCGCGATTGTTAGTACTCCCCTTCTGTACTGAACACTTATGTGCTCAATGGTGTGGTAACATAGCCGCGACTTTCGCCTAATTCCGTTCCTCATTATGGCACTGTCGGCCTCAATATTTCGTCCTCCCAGATTTGCATTGACTCCAATCCTAACGTCCTTCCTACCCTCGTGAGCTCCTCTTGACGAGCGTGCGCAAGTGGCGGGTTCAATGAGGTCGCGACCGGTGCCGCAAAGCCTCTACATAGGGCCCTAATACCTAAGCCACCAATTATGCTCGAAAAGCCGGGCCCTCCTTCCTTTCCCCCTCCCCCTTCCCCACCCCCTCCTTTTTCCCCCTTTTTCTTTGCTCCTTTCTTTTTTCCCTTTTTCTCAGAAAAATTAGTGTTTAGGTACAGCTAGATAGTATCGCTATTCCAACCTCCAACTATAGTCAAACTGTTAGGCATTGTTGGTTTGTCGTTTCGTTTACTCATGTGCGTACAACAAATGCAAAACTGTTCAAACCCTTGTTGTAAAGGGTGGTAAAGAAGGAAATTGCAAGGAAAATAAGTGTTTAGGTACAGCTAGATAGTTTTGCTATTCCAACCTCCAACTATAGTCAAACTGTTAGGCATTGTTGGTTTGTCGTTTCGTTTACTCATGTGCGTACAACAAATGCAAAACTGTTCAAACCCTTGTTGTAAAGGGTGGTAAAGAAGGAAATTGCAAGAAAAATAAGTGTTTAGGTACAGCTAGATAGTTTCGCTATTCCAACCTCCAACTATAGTCAAAGTGTTAGGCATTGTTGGTTTGTCGTTTCGTTTACTCATGTGCGTACAACAAATGCAAAACTGTTCAAACCCTCTCCAGTTCTGCCATTCTGATATTTTGCTATTATACCGGAACTCCGCTTTATTATCTGTGTCAGGCATGGAACCAGGGGGCGTGGTGTTTGTCCCCGCGCCGTATCAAGCCAGTGTAGCTGTTTTGTTGTCTCGTTGCGCGTAGTCGCTGAAAACGTGGTAACAGAGAAACGCACAGGCGGACAGACAACACACGTACACTACACACACACACACGGTATAACCCTCGCTGCGCATGCGCGCCGAGTGTTAAACCGCCGTGCGTCGTACGTGCGTGTGTATACGTCGTACCGTGTGCTTCTGGAATTATGTTCCCCGCGGAGATAAACGGACAATATTCAAAGATATCCGATATCTTTAACACGGCCACACCCTCCAGAAGTCTTTTTCGCGCTGTGTTTCTGGTGAGTGTGTAAACTATGGCCTACGGTGATCCTAACGACTTTGGTTGGTGTAATTTGGTGGTAAAGTTTTTGCTGTTCGTGACCAACGTCGTTGTCTGGGTACGTTCATGACCTACAGTACACCTGCCGATTCTGTCACTTTTTTCACTAGCTTTTGGGTGTTGCTCTTCTCGGGGCGGGAGTCTACGTGTTGACTGCTCCAGAGACCAACCTGGACAATGTAGACGTTGATAACTTCCTTACTGCCCCTGCCATCCTCCTCTGCATAATTGGTGGGGTGTTATTCCTGCTTGGTTTCTGTGGCTGTTTGGTGCACTTCTGGAACTCTATATCCCTCTGATAGTGGTGGGTCTTTCTCCATTCTAGTCTATTGTGGGCATTTGACATTGAATTCCACTCTCAGTACACAGGAATTTTGTCGGTGCTGGTGTTACTGGAGATAGCAGTAGTAGTCTATGTGTATCTGCAGCGGGACTCGGTAACAGACTGTACTCTGTACCACCTCTATGACCATTTGTGTGTGTATAGGCACTGAGTGCATTCAGAACCACTCTGAGGGAGGGAATAGAGCAGTACTATGACGACCCGGACAAGGCCAGCATCGTTGACCAGCTACAGTCTCAGGTATCTGTGTAGCATACCTCCAACCCTTTCTCTCCTCTTATGGTAACCTGCTCGTCCAGTTGATAGGCTGTTGTGGGGTGGAGGATCCCAATGACTGGCAGGCAAACCCTTACTTCAACTGCTCCAGTCAGGCAGCCCAGCGCTGCTCTGTCCCGTATTCCTGCTGCGTTCTGGTCAGTCTCCTCCTCGGCTTGTGTTGAGGCTGTTTTGTCCCCTCCACAAACACACACACGCACAGGAAGAAGACGAAGTTATCGATGTGCAGTGTGGATATAGAGCACTTGATCCACTGGATGTATGTAACGAGACTTAGTTTTTGCCCCTACCTCCAAGTTTTGCCTTTTGCAGAGAAACTACTACAGGAGACCAAATGCAACCAATGAGATCTACAGCGTTGGGTGCAGACAGGCAGCGGAAGACCTCTTCAATGACAACTTGGAGATCATCCTTGGAGTTGGCGTTGGACTACTTATCTTTCAGCTCTTCAACATAATGCTGGCTGGAGGTATGCACCACCACTAGCCAGGGCTTTTCTGACACATTCTGTACTAACCCTCGGCGCACATGTGCGAGGGTTACAGTACTTGGTCCGTGAGTCTGTCTGTCTGTCATTACCATGTACTCTGCCACTATGCCCTACAAGAAACGGGAGAACGATACCGACAGGTTTGGCGCTCTGGCTTACCTCGACCTGATCCGCTTTCTCTTTTGAGGCAGAAGTCTCAACAGAGGGCGTGTATCGACTCACTCATGCTATCTACTAGTGTAACTAGCCTTTGTCAGACTCTCCATCAGCTAGCATAAAACACACATAATTAGTGGTACCACACATGCGCAGTGCGCCGAGGGTTTGCACTTTAGTGCTCTCATTTCGTAGGTCTAGCTCTGGACATTCGCAAGGAAAAAGCTGCTCTGAAAGCTATCAAGGAAAGTTAGCGGTTTTAACTCAAGCAACCACTCTATAATTATATAGAACGCTCCTTTTTTTAACCTTGAGTGTGACATATTATACATGATGTGTATATACACGTATTGTGCTTTGCTATAGTTTATTTGGAACATCAAATACAACTGGAGGGTGAACAGGTTGGTAGGTGAGGTTGCATGTGGAGCAGTTGATAAATGTGGTGTGGCCATCACAAGTGAGCCCATAACCTGCAATGAGGGAATTTACAGGTACAGATAAACCCAGCTGATTGCTACCTTCATGTATGTGGCCAAAGACGTGGTACTGTGGCAGTACCCTCTGCTGGATGGTGAGCAGCAGTTGAACACACCCAGCCCTCATCCCGTTGCTGCAGAGGTCTCCGTGACCTAGAGGAGGACCATGGGTCACCAACACATCCACACTGCTCGGAATAAGGTCCCATTTCTCCTGACATGGCTGGCCTCGCGGAAGGTTGAAGGCCCAGTCACAAAACTCTGGCTGCCTGTATCAAATCTTCCGTGTCCTAGTATCTAATACTAGTACATACATACCATGGGGATCCCCACAAAGATATTCCATTGATGGCGGTCCCTGAATCCTCCAGATACTCAACTCCCCTTGCCTTGATTACCAGCCCTCGCAGCTGCTGGCTGTCAAACTGTCGAGGGTGTCCAAACCTCCTCCAGAGGGTCCCATAGTTGGCGACATCAAATGGGAGATCGTGATTTCCTGCAATCACAACCTACTGATGTGTCACCCGCTGCCTGTCAGGGGACAGAGAAGTCTGTACCTTGTGGGGGTGGGGCTGTCCCTCCAAGAACTGTCTGAACTCATCTATCTCTCTGGGTAGGCCGGTGTTGCTGAAGTCACCTGCATGGATTAGCACGTCTCCTGCAGGCACTTGGAAATCCTTCGGCAAATGACTGTGGGTGTCTGTTCAACGCGACAGTTCATGGCCACAGCGTCACATGTACGATAGCTATCATGCATACCAGAGATACAGACGAAACGAGTGTGGTTGGCGGGTTTAGGAGAGCTGGGGGCCAGGGGTATCACTTTCTCTACCTTTTGGTTCACCTTCAGAATGTCCCACATCTTGTTGGGATGGAGAGAAAGAGGATGGACATACATTATACGGCAGAAAGCAAGTGGGTGGGGTGCTACACTCGCGGCCCCGCCCCTCATACGGCGACACACGCAGACATGGAGGCAGTGAAGAAGGCTGCGAGCGGTGCCGTCGACAGCATCAGGAACAGCCCGCTGTTCAGAAGAAAGTTTGGGACGCAGCAGGGAAGGGAAGTTGAGCAAGAGCCTCGCCACCTCTCCCCCGAGCAAGATACGACTCCATTTGTTCAGGGAATCAACTTCAAGGCAAGCACGCGTGTTTTCGTGTCTGGAGCACGTCCTGTTGACATCTTCTGAGCAGGTGACGTACTTGGGGCGGCAGCTGGTGTCGAGCTCTCTGGCACAGGACCACGGGGTGACGGACTCCACTGTCAGACAGCTGTGGGGGGAGGAAGGGGAGGAGGTCAGAGTCAGGGTCACCACCACCACCCTGAGGGTGAAGAGGGTGGGGGGTGGCGCAGTTCTCTGGGACTTTCCTCTCTTCCATGTCTCCTACTGCGGCACCGACCGCTGTCAACACACAGCCTTCAGCTTTGTTGCCAAGGGAGACGATGGGGAGTAAGTTTGTTGTATGATTTGATAGTATTATCCCTGTACGTCTGCCATAGGTTCTACTGCCACGTTTTTCGCTGCGTGTCAGAAGAAAAGGCCTATGCTTTAGCTCTTGCAGTGGCCAAGGCCTTCTATCTTGCCTACCAGGTATGGTAGTCTGCCATCTGCTCTGTCAACAGTGCTTGTCTCCAGATCCTGCAGGAGCAACAAGGACAGTTCCCCAGTCCTCCTGACAGAGAGTGTCTGTTTGAGCCTCAGCTCCCAAGTGACACCCAACACACTCCTCCACGACCTCACATTCCCACCCATCCTTCAACACAGCAGGTGAGTGGAAGACATCTCCACCCTCCCTGAACACTTCAGAATTTCCTTCCTGGCAACACAGGAAGCAGTGGACTTGGCGCCACCCTCACTCCGAGTGACTCGTCCATCCCTCTCCTCCGAGGCAGAGTCTCTGAGTGCCGCTGCTGATGACGACTTTGCCCGACTGGCCAAAGCCAGGTCTAACCCTGACATCCTTCGCTCCACCATTGACATTCAGGATGTCAGAGGTAAGTCCACAATTATGGAGCACGTGGATCTTGCAAGTGTATCTGCGTTTACAGGAGGAACTATGGATATGCTGCATCTCCATGCCGACCCCTCCTCTCACGTGGCCACACCCGTTGGATCCACTGAAAATTTGCTCAAAGACGCATCGTAAAGACTTACAGCTGTCATATATTATCGATATTATTATGGTCATATATTATAGCTTCTAACGTGTGAAACAAAGAGTTTGTGGTTTTTTTATACTTAGAGCTCAGTTCAGACTGTATCCATAGCAACAGGTGTGGTCTTTTCACAGAAGAGGAACTGGTCTTGGTACTCCTGCAGACACACACACACACACACAACCTCACAACTCCATTGTCGAGAAATAATTATTTCCCACTACAGTAATTTGTTGGCAGCGACACTTGAACAAGCTGCAAGCTTTCTCCACAGGCTTCACATGTATTATACATGATATGTACCCATAGTTCAACAGTACCACTAAAACCCATAGTTCAACAGTACCACTAAAACCCATAGTTCAACAGTACCACTAAAACCCATAGTTCAACAGTAAAACCCATAGTTCAACAGTACCACTAAAACCCATAGTTCAACAGTACCACTAAAACCCATAGTTCAACAGTACCTGCAGAAACTGAGTGCTGCGATGCTCATCCAGAAACAGCGAATAAACTCTCTTAATGTCATCAACATCAACCTCTGACCCCTTCAGCAAACATAAAGGTTGCCTGGCAACCAAAGGCACCACCTGCCTTTCTCTTGCGGCATGTGAGACTGGCGGCAGTGATGAGCTGCATGGCATAGCGGAGACTGGTTTCCATGCCGATCCTTGTCAGAATGGCAACAGCATCCTCTGTCATCTCAACATCTTCTTCCTCGCACCTGTTGACACAACAAACACTATATTGACACCAGTTCACACATGAAGTTCACGTGGTAAGCACACCATACTAACGTCCGCTGACAAACATACCTGATGGACAGAATCTGCTTTATCTCTCTCTCTGAATAAGGCTGTCGATAGAGAGAAATAGACTGCAGGCGAGGGGAAGGGGGTGGAGCCTTACCTGAGTGGAGATGATAAGCAGACGATCCAGAAGGTCTATAGGAACTCCATGAGGACTAGTGTAGCTAGTGCCTCGTATCCTGGGCAGCAGAGAGAGAGAGAGAGACAGGCTCACACCAAAATGTGAGTCAGTCACTGTACTTGGTGATTCCTCTGTTGGTTGCCATGATCAGGATCGGGGCCATGTCAGACTCTAGGGCGCGGTTCAGGAATGAAAAACACTCGATATCCAACATGTGCACCTCGTCAATGAAGAGCACCTACAAGACCACACCCACATTGACACGGAGGCATAGGAACAGCTGCAACACTCACTCCTGGAACAATCTCTGCCTTCCCTTCCTCCCTCCACTCCGCCACCTTGGAGTTTATCTGCTCTCTCACTTCACTCTTTATCTCTCCAGTGTCCCCTGCCAGTCACACAGACACCAACGTGAGATACAGGTCATGCAGAGACTGTAAGTACCTGAGAATAGGGCCAGGAACCCCTGCGTTCGAGAGTTGATGACGTCAATTTCATGGAGAGACACAGTGTGAACGACTTCCTTCCTCTTCTGTAGTTCTCCCTCGGGACACTGCACAAACCTAGCACGCACACACACAGAGGTGAACCCCTGCAACAGAGGAGGAGGACTCTACTTGGTCTGGGGACCCATGGCGTCGTAGTCTCGGGCACGAGTGAAGGAACGACCAAGTCGCGACACTTTCCCCGTTGCCTTGTCGATAGTGATGATGTCGCTGGGAAAAACAGTTACTATATATAGGAGACGGCAGAACTGCAAGAAATACCTACCCTGCCTGCACCTTCTCCTTGGTGAGGGACTCAATCATCTTCCCACCAAGATCATAGACGGTTTCCATCTCTGTGGTCTTCAGGGTCAGCTTTCCTTCCCGCGCCCCCTACACACACACACACACACACCACTCACACACAGAGACATCTGTTTGGACCTCACTCACAGAGGCACTAGTTGGTCTGTCAATCTGTACCTCCACCACCTCACCCTCAATGATCTCTGTCTCTTCTCTATGGACAACGTCACTCACACACACCTCACATCCAGCACCAAACTTACTTGATCCTAACTCCAATGGACTTGCGGAATGCCTGAGTGAGGGCCTCCGTCTTTCCCATCTCAAGAGAGAAGATCTCAGAGCCAGCCATGGCAGTGAATGGAGTGTCCACGCCCAGGGCCTGCGCCATCCCTGCACCCGCCACTATACTAGGAGCCACTAGAGAGGAGGGGAGGACACATACCCATGGCGATGGCTGTCTTCCCTGTGCCTGGTTGGCCAGCAATCATGACTGCTCTCCCTGCTATCTTACCATCCTAGGGAACAATATGGGGTCAGACTACACTACCAGTTGTCTAGATCCTGAATGTGTGGTAACAAGGCACACAGAGAGTGAAGGACAAAAACAGGCAGTGAATCCCTGGCTAGACATGAACTGAAGGCTTGACTGATGCAAACAAGCACAGACGATTGTCTCCTTAATATGACTCAATATAGATTTACTAAAGCCAATCTGAAAAACAAGGAGGCAGTTTTCTTGCAGCTAGAAACAAAATGGATCCAGATAAAGAGAGATTTACTTTGCTAAATGCATTTTGGCTTTGTCACTTCATTCTTTGAGTCATGAAATTTGCAATGCATAGTATGCCATCGGGTATGAACATGGATTACAAGCTAATAGCAATGGAAAATGCTGACCAGCAGTATCTACAATTCCCGTCTTACCTTCACCATCTCCAGCACAATTCCAGCTGCTCTCCTTGCTGCCAGCTGCCCAACCATCCCCTGCGACACCTGCAGTAACGATTACATCATCATTACAGCACTCAGTATTCCCGGCTCCAGTACAGGTCTGGGTTCCAGTGCATCATCCAGTCCCAGTCCTCTGATATGGGAATGAGCACCTGCAGGGCCCCAATGTGTGCTAACACTGGACACTACGACAACAGTTCCTACCAATCCTCTCAATCCTGGTTATGTCTCTTATCTCCTGCACTTGGCTCACTGCTCCCTGCACACAGACTCCACAAATCAGTGCTCCCAACACGCCAGATCCTTGCTTACCGCTGCCATCGTTCCTAGAACACCCGCCCTCTCTGTTACACACGACCTCTGACCTTTTGCTTACGCTACACGTGGACTCCGTGGCGTGTTGTGGCTCGGTTTGTGGGCTTTGTCCTGACCGTATGCGTGCGTGCCGAGCGGCGTTGCTCTTCATCTCCAGACCAACTTCTCTCTGTGTCAGAATGGACTCCAGTAATGGTGAGTTTCAGCCGTTGGCTGGCGTCCATCTTACCCTACACCGTCTGTGTAGCCCAGAGTTCGGAACTAAAACTCTACAATTCCCTGACACGCCAGAAAGAATCGTTCGTTCCTCTCGCACCGCCCACTGTGACCTGGTATAGCTGTGGTCCCACGGTCTACGATGCTGCTCATATGGGCCATGCCAGGTTTATACCAACACTCCTCCACTTATCATAAGACCCTGTGTGAAACTACACATCAACTTCTCTGGCAGGTCATACATCACATTTGACATCCTACGTCGCGTTCTCTCGGACTATTTTGGTTACCATGTCAACTATGTCATGAACATCACTGATATTGATGACAAGGTGCGCACACTCGTCTCAGGCATTTGTCGCTGTCATAGCAACATGTGTTAGTAGATAATCCGAAGAGCTCGAAGAAATCACCTTCTGGAGAACTACACTAGTGACGAGCCCTCCCTCTCTTCCCTTGTTACTGACGTTAATGCAGCCTTGAAGGTTGGGTTGACTGTCCTGTGATGGTCGTAAACTGTCTGACATCTGCAGCCGTTCACAGAGAAGGCGAGGAGAGAGAGCGACCCTGACAAGCAGAAGATGTTGCAGGGAGTTGTGGTGAGTAGGGGAGGGAGGGAGTGGTGAGAGACATGATTCTCCCCCTCTCGCTGCAGGAGAAGGTGAGGACTACTCTACAGGAGATTGCCACTGAAGAGCAGAGCAAGAATTCTGTGAGAAAACCCACACCCTCCTCTCTCCCCTGATGCTATAGTCCCAACAGGTGGCTAGTTTGCTGAGTGCTGCAGCTGACCCTCTCTCTGACTGGTTGGACTCAAGACTTGGACCACACATCACCGACAAGAGCATTTTTGCATCTCTGACTCAGCGTTTCGAGCAAGAATTCCATTGCGACATGGAGGCTCTGAATGTATGACATCATGGTGATGTCATAGCAGTTTTGGAAGGTTCAATAATGTAGGTACTGCCGGCAGATGTGTTGACCAGAGTCAGTGAGTATGTGCCAGAAGTAGTGGATTACATCCAGGAGATCGTGGCTAAAGGCTTTGCGTGAGTCGTCTTATTACTGGTGATGCAGAAGCCAGTGACTTGTTGGGCTGCAGGTACGAGTCCAATGGCTCGGTTTATTTCGACGTCGTAAAATTCTCATCTGCTCCTGACCACACGTATGCCAAGCTGGTCCCAGAGGCAGTAGGAAACCTGACAGCTCTGGCTGAGGGGGAAGGTGAGGAGGCCCCAGGGAGGAGTGAGGTTCACTCGCTGCTCCACAGGGGAGCTGAGTGCTGGAGGTCAGGCAGAGAAGAGGGCTCCCAATGACTTTGCCTTATGGAAGGCGAGCAAGGCGGGGGAGCCAGAGTGGCCCAGTCCCTGGGGTCAGGGGAGACCTGGCTGGCACATAGAGTGCTCGGTCATGGCCTGGTGAGTGTGTCTTCTTATTCTTCATCTCTCTATCTCTCTGCTGCAGCGATATTCTTGGAGAAAAAGCCGACATACATACTGGAGGGGTAGACTTAAAGTTCCCTCACCATGACAACGAAATTGCCCAAGCAGAGGTCAGAAGGGGTGTGGCCTGTCAAACAAGCTACTAATGATATCTGGCAGGCTCGGTATGGCTCTGACCAGTGGATGAGTTTCTTTCTTCACTCTGGTCACCTCACTATTGCCGGCTGCAAAATGAGCAAGTCTCTCAAGAATTTCATCACCATCAAACAGGTCATGTGACTGTCAGGTGACAATGGTTCCTGTCACCTGACCACACATCATACAGGCTCTGGAAAAGCATTCAGCAAGGCAGCTGCGACTGGCCTTTCTGCTCCACTCTTGGTCCGCCACTCTGGACTACAGCCAGGCTACCATGAGAGAGGCACAGTACTACGAGAAGATGTTCAATGTGCATAATGTCTCCTCTCTCACATTGTCACATTTTTTCCTCTCTTTCTGTGTGTGACTATGTAGGAGTTCTTTTTGACAGTGAAGGACCTGCTTCGTAAGCAGCCAAAGGGTGTGGACAGCTACCTCAAATTCTCCGACAGAGAAAAGCAGCTGCTGTGCCGGTCAGTGTTTGTGACTATGATGTATATACAGCCCTAGCCCTCCACCTCTCAGACTGACCGAAGCCAGAGCTGCGGTCCATGCTGCTCTCTGTGGTGAGTCCTGATAAAACCTTCCTCCCTCTCTCCCCTCATCTCCTTCTGACCTATGTTCCTCTCCCCAGACTCTGTGGACACTCCCCAAGCTATGCGAGTCATGAAGGAACTTGTCAACACCAGCAACATTTATCTCTCGGAGCAGTCTGGTCAAGCCAATGCCAGACTCCTTCATAGCATTGCCTCCTACCTCACCGCCATGTTGAGGGTGTTTGGAGTCATTTCTGACTCCTCCCCTGTTGGGTTCCCCTTGGCAACAACCCAGTCCTCTGAGAATATGGTTAGCCAACACCCACAGCACAACACATCGCACAGCCGAGGAGCTTGAGGTGTATCAGGCTGCTTCTGTGATACTGTCCCTAAACAGTGTTTCCCACAGGGTAATATAGTGCTGCAGGAAACACTGCCTAAGGTGTGGTTTGGAATGCCGTTATGAAACAAAAATTTGATACCCACACACACCTTTGATCTAACATCAAGGGAGCTGATCAAGAAATGTTGATGTAGGATCAATAAAAAAAATCACGAGGAGTGAAAGTTTTTGTCCGTAACGCTATATACCATTATCGAGTGCAACAGTGTTTTATAGTAATGCAGTGTTTTTCCTGCTTGTAGGAAGAAGTTGTTATGCCATACCTCTCGCTACTGGCTGACTTCCGGGAAGATGTGCGGAAGAAAGCCCTTGAGGTCAAAGGTCAGTGCCTAGTATTGTTATGGTGACGATGTTGTTGTGATGGAAGTGTTCAGATGGAGATCTGTTGAGAGTGTGTGACGATCTGAGGGACCGAAAGTTAGGGAATCTGGGGGTTCGCATGGAGGACAAGGAAGAGGGAACCGTGGTGAAGGTAGTCGGCAGAGACACCATCCAGAAAGAGAGGGAACTGGAGAGACAGGTCAGTGGGTGTGGTCTGTTGCCAGTGGGGTGAAAGGTCACCTCACAGGCCCAGCAGGAGAAGGCAAAGGCTAAGGCAGAGCAGAAGAGACGACTGGAGGAGGCCAAGGTAAGTGGTGTGTGTGTGTACCAGAAACTGAGGGACCTTGATATGATAGAGACAAAGAGAAGAGCAGGCTGCCATTCCTCCTGACCAGATGTTCCGATCTCAGACTGACAAGTACAGCAAGTTTGATGACAAAGGTATGGTTCCTCATTTCCTATATATAACAGGAGTGGTTGTGTTTTCCATTGTATATATAGGCATCCCAACACACGACCAGACTGGAAAGCCACTCAGTGATAAACAGGTACGCATAGTGCGCATGTCTCAGGTCATCTGTATCTCTATTCCAACAGATCAAGAAACTCCTCAAGTTGTGGCAGGCTCAGGAGAAGAAACATGCAGAACACCTAAACAAAATGTAGCATTCTTCACCATTGTATATACGCATGCGCGCGGTGGTTACGCTTCATGAATGAGATGGTGTCCGTAGCGCAGATCAGCTACGGAGGTGGTGAAGTGTATGATGGAGAGTGGGATGGAGAGGGTCGCAGACACGGTAGGGGCCGCCTCGTCTTCTCTGACGGCTCCAAGTATAAGGGCCAGTTCAAAGCTGGTTTCTTTCACGTGAGGGTGGCGGAGTATTGAAGAGTATATGATCAGAGGTCCGCAGGGACTAGGGCGACTGGAGCTGGCTGGAGGGGCGAGGTATGAGGGAGAGTTCCAACTGGGAAAGTTCCAAGGTCACGGAGTTTACTACTCCATTGGGGGAAAGTATGAGGTCAGACATAATACCCACTGAACTGAAGTCATAATGATGTAATGGCATTAGGGGCAGTTTGTTGATGGACAGGCAAAGGGAAAGGGTCTGGTCACCCTCCCAGATGGGTCCCATGGCAACCCACGTCAGGAGGGTATATTTCAGGGAGAGAGGTACAAGAATATCTTCTGAGTCAGCACAGTTTGACCGTCCTCCCATTATTCAGGTGTACAGAGAGGCGGGATGTGAAGGAAGACATTCGTAGAGCAGTGCAGGCCGCTGCTCAGGCGCGTTCTCTGATTGAGCAATACAATCTCTGACCATTTTTACCGTGGTGTGTGTGTTGTGTCGTCATGTTGATTCATTGAAAGGGAAATGTCCAGGATTTCTCTCTTGGCTTTTCTGTATGGCCAAAATACGCTGCGAATGCAACAAGTTGCGAGAAGTAAACGACACTTTTATTATTTTTGTTCACAATGTGGCATGGGTGGACCCACATCACAATAAGGTTAATTGCATCTCTACCATATTATTGGATACCTGGAGAATAGGGGTGGAATTTTGCAACACATTAGGAAACAAAGAAAGAATCCCTTGTGGACAGACCATTGTCAAGGACAAGGTCACATGGCTTCTGGTATTATATCCATGATCTAACAGCCGTTCCTATGGCTAAGGCTCTCAATTATCATGTTGCCCTGCACAGTACACACTGCCGCATGCAGTGTCACAAGGATAGCAATCCTCGCCATGTGACTGGCGCGACATAATATTGTGAACCCAGGCTAACATATACATCACACAACAATCATTGTCTGATGTGGTGTGAAGTCAGGGGTGAGGGACTATACTAGCTGAGTCTCTCAGAGATGTACAGTCTGTGGTGTCGCTCCAGCAGCTCAATGTCCTTCTCCAGCTGCTTCATCTCAGCCTCCATTCGCTCCTTGCGGGCCTTCTTTGGAGCGGTGTCAGTGATGACACTGAGCCCTTGGTACTGGTGGTGGAGGTCTTCCCAGTTAGCCTTCAGTCCTGCCAGCAGCGTATCTCTGCTCAGATAACGCACACCAGTCATCACTCTCTCCCTCCCTTGGTCCCTATCTCACCGTTCCTCCTCTGTCACCTGCTCCATTTGCCCCCTGCGAAGGCTCTCCTCAATATAACAGTCATACTCTGCCTGAGCAGCTGTCATGTCCTCTCGACGTCTCTCCAGGAACCCTGGCACCTTCCCGTAGTCCTAATCACAAGACCACAGCCAGGAAGTCACATGACTTTTGGTCCCATTGCAATTACCTTCTTGTTGGTGTATTTAGGGACCAGTCCAGAGGCGACCAGGTCAAATGTATCTCCACTAACTGTGTCTACATACTTTGCAGCCGGTTTGCGAGGCACTGCAGTGGTTTGCAGAAAAATAACCACCAATGTATGCATTAGTTTTTCCCCCAAATACCTGCCATTATGTTGTTCACTGCATTTGTGGTGACGTAATTCTTGTTGGATTTGGATCCCATCTGAGGCTGCTCAGTGTGCCGTGGGACAAGTGGTCTTTGAGGTTTGCACTCGCGATTTGTAGCTCTCGCCTCTCCTGCTAGCAGACACACACAGGGAATAGATGCAAGACTGCAAGACAAGTTGTTTGCTAACTCTCGGGCAGCTTTTGTTCTTTCGAGTGTTTCTTGAGAAAGTCTTGTGGAGAGCTAAGCTGGACTTTTGCTGGTCCCTGGAGCAGACAGTCACTAGCTACTGACAGTTCGGCACGATACCACTCACCATTGTCTTACTGCAGGCCTTGTCTTGTCTGCCGTCAGACCTCACCGTAGACGAAAACATGGACTTGTACCTGCACAGCACCAGTCACTAGCGGACAGAGAAAGAGAGTGGATAGAGAGCAGAACCTTGGTGGCTTTGACTCTGGAGTGACAGTCTTCGGGATGAGATTGTAGATGCTCTCCTCCGACGGTAGAGACATGACAGCATGCAGTGAGCAGCGAGCTAGCGTAGTGTATGTCAGTGAGCAGCGAGCTAGCGTAGTGCATGTATGTATATCTGTTGCCATAGAAACAAACATGCGCGCCTAATGGTAAGCGCACACACGTGTATAGTTTTGCACTGAAGCAAACGGCCAAGTGGCTGAAGCAACTTCCCAAAGCTAAGGGAAGCTATGAGGAAGCGGCGAGGTGAGAAAAAGACCCGTGACAAAAGATCCGTCAAAGAAACAGCACAAATAGACGAGGAGCAGCAATGGACACCCTCACTGGGGTCGTGGGCCATTGCTCTTGGTAGGTCTCAGACATGTTGCTGTATTGACCATTGGCTTCATCTCCACTCCACAGCCATCGGGGCTTGTTTGCTGCACGGGTACTGTGGCTGAGAGGGGGAATGCAGTGCTTCACTCTCTCTTCCATGCAGCATGCACCTGGCAGCACTGTTTGAGAATGATCGGTTCTTCTCTCATCTCTCGCCACTGGAGAGAGAGCTCTCCTTCCGCACTGAGATGGTGGGAAACTGGCTCACACTGCTGCTACTCTTCACTTTTCTCAACCTGTCTCCCCTTCTTTCGCCAGGGACTATACTACTCTTACTACAAGAGGATAGTTGAGTCCCCTTCACTGTTGGGAGGTGTGGCCTCAATTCTCCATGACAACCTAACAGAGTATCCAGATACCATCAACACTTTGCAGAGGTTTAATCTGTACCCTGAGGTGTGGCATCCCTGCCTCTCCATTCTGGTGAAGATTTATGCTCACACTGCCCGCAGGTTTGTCTTTCGGTAATGTTCCGTCAGTATCGCTGGTGTCTAGACCTCCTGGGCATGTCTGGGATGAAATGCTTCTCCATTACGCGTGGCGACGGATCAAAAGTGGAGGCATGCAATGGTGAGAGGTAGTAAGGAAGTGGGGCCTTGTATTGTGTGTTGTTCTCTGTATATCCAGGTATGGGAGACCACATGTACTTCTATGTATTGTGTGTTGTTCTCTGTATATCCAGGTATGGGAGACCACATGTACTTCTATGTATTGTGTGTTGTTCTCTGTATCCAGGTATGGGAGACCACATGTACTTCTATGTATTGTGTGTTGTTCTCTGTATCCAGGTATGGGAGACCACATGTACTTCTATGTATTGTGTGTTGTTCTCTGTATCCAGGTATGGGAGACCACATGTACTTCTATGTATTGTGTGTTGTTCTCTGTATCCAGGTATGGGAGACCACATGTACTTCTATGTATTGTGTGTTGTTCTCTGTATCCAGGTATGGGAGACCACATGTACTTCTATGTTCACATGATATTTGGTCTCAATGGTTTGCTGGCGTCTGGTATAGCTCTCCTGGGAACTTTCGTCAGGTGAGTATGGACGTCATGGAGACAGTGATGTGATTGGTCTGTTGTGTGCAGTGGAAGTGTGTGGGGAGGAGTGCTTAGTGTCACTACTTTCTTTTATAACCATGGGCAGGTCAGTTTCACTATGTATACTACGTCTTTAGCAAGCAAACACGAGAGCATGCGGCACACACGATTGTGTAAAATTTCATCTACTTTTATGTTCAGATATTATGCATGCATTATAATAATATGCAAAACCTGTTCAATACAGATGGCTTGGTGTCAGATTATTATGCACACATTACTTACAGAACTCGTGCAATGCTCCGAGTCTATTTCTTGCACTTTAAGGATACTGACATACTAAGTGAAAGAGTGTTTGTCACTAATAGCTGTCACTAATGTACATGTAACTAGTGGTTCGCTATTTTTAACACTAATGCCACTACAGTAATTATGGCTGCACTTTACCTTCCCTTCCTGTAGTCTACCAGAGTGATGTGGACACCTCCACTGAGGGAGAGCTTCGCTATGCCTCTCCTCTTCCTCCAAACTCTAATCCTCTCCTTCATCATCAGGTATCGTACAACTTTAGCGACAGAAAACTTCGTGAATTGCTCGAACCCCAACTTTTCGTAATTAGTTGTGCAGTATTCTTACGGCAACATGGTCCGATCCCAATGCACAGGAAACGGTCCTGTTCGTTGGTCGTCTGGACCAGTCTGGTCCTTGCGACTGTGGCCTTCCTGTTGCCATGGCAATTCTCCCAGTTTACCCTCCTGACCCAGGTTAGTGGAAATTACGTATGTGTAGAGTATGTGTGACAGTCCGCACGGGAAAGCGGAATCAGTGGTATGAGGTGGTAAATTGCCTTGGTAGCGGGTAGCTACAGCATGAATCTGGCATTGCCATCATTACTGTGTTTTCTCATCACATTATATACTTACCTCATTTCGTGTGTCAACTCTTCTGTGGTACAACTCCAAAGTATTAGCTGCAACTGCTTCTGCTGTTTTGGAGGCTCTACTCATCAGACTGAAACACTGTGCTCTGCAACGGTACAGCATGCTCAAAGAGAGACTGATCCACACCTTAGTGATCCAATAATGCTGACAAACAATGGAAACAAAGACATAGTTATTTATGTCACCATTCCTTAGTGACTAGGGCATAACACAGCGGTCTTGATCATCTCTAAGGACTCTGTCAATCTAGTGTTCTCTTTGTGAAGGTGTTGTCAGTGCTAGTAGTCCACTGTCTGCGACTGATCTCTAGTCAGAAGTTCCTCCGAATTCTGTTAGCCTACACTGTGAGTTAGCACACCCTCTTCTTCCTCCATCCGCCATCTCTCTCTCTCTCTCTCTCTCTCTCAGCTGGCCTTTGCTGTGAATGTAGTCCTGCAGTTTGGGAACAATATGCTCCTGACTTCCTTCCTGCCCTCCTGCCTCCTCAGTTGTCTGGTTAGACTCAAGGGCCTCAAGTAATGTTTAGTCACTTCTCTACCTCCAGATAGTAGGTCTCCTCTCCTCTACCTCTCACCTCCTCAAATTTCGACCCCTTATCATGGTAAAACTGTCACCTTGGTAACCAGAGCCGGAGGGGGTGTGGTTTGTGTGCAGGTGGTTGAAGTGAGTGTGGTGATAGTGGGGAGTGTGCTGATGAAGATGGGTGTGGCAGCTATTCTGGGTGCCAAGGAAGACGTAAGCTCTGTGACCTCTTGCTCCTCTCTATCTCTCTCTTTCTCTCTGACTGTAGGAGCACATCATCTCCATCTTGTTGTCCAAGTTCACCTCTTACCACGACTTCCACACTCAACTCTATACCTGTGCTGCTGAGTTTGACTTCTTACCTCTGTCGTGAGTCAGCAACATTACACTGTTGCTAATGCATGAAAATGCTTTTGCACGCAACAAGTTGCATGCACCATTATTATGTGGTGTGAAACTTTTGTCTCACTCAACAAGTTGCTCCATATGTGTTGCCCTCTCTAGACGTCTGAATGCGGTATTTATGAGCCGCACTGCCACTTACCGTACTGTTCTATGATATTCTGAATACTCAAAACACGCACAAATGTTTCTCACTTCATCTTCCATCTCCTCAGATATGTGCTGGATCTGACTTGGACACTCCTCCTACCCATGTCCGTTGTTTCCATGGCAATTATCACTGTTAGAGTGGTCAAGCACATCTTTGGTAAAGAGGAAACAGGTCATTCTGATGATGTAATGGCCACACCCCCTGGAGACCTGGCGGTGCAGGTCTACCACCTGATGCAGACTGTAGCATACGTCGTCATGGCGACCCTCATAATGCGGCTGAAGCTGTTCCTGTCACCTCAGCTGGCAGTGGTCGCAGGACTACTCCCGTCTCTTCTCAGAGCCAGCGGGCTCTCTGTAAGTGACCTTTGGACCTCGTCTCTAGTGGGTGTGGTTTCTCATTGCAGAGGTCACAGTACAAGTGGATGGTGGCTGGACTCCTGGTCTGCAGCTCTCTAAAAGGATGGCACAATTTCCATCTTCAACACGTGAGCCCCTCCCTCTGAACTCTGACCTCTGTGACATCATTAATTGATTGCCGGCAGAGTGTGATTGGAGAGTACAATAACCCTGAGGGGGAGCAGCTTGCTCTGTGGATACGGGACCACACCCCCGAGACAGCAGTGTTTGCTGGGACCATGCCAACCATGGCAACAGTTCTCTTGACAACTGGTAGACCAATCGTCAACCATCCTCATTACGAGACTGCGTCTCTGAGGTCAGAATTCAGGGGGTGTGGCCTGGTTCATGACTTCCTCACTGCAGGAATCGAACCTACCATGTCTACTCCATATTTGGTCGGAAGCCGGTGAAAGAAATCCATTCCATTCTTCATGGAATGGGGGCAGACTACGTCATTAGTGAGGATGGATGGTGCCACAAACACAGGAGCAAGCCAGGTTTGCTGATGGCTCTGCAGTGATGTCATAATGATGTAATTGATCTCATGCAGGCTGCTCCTTTAGTGAGATGTGGGACGAGGAAGACCCTGTCAATAAGGAGAGACCTGTGTTCTGTGCGGTCCTCCAGACACACACACCCTCCCCCTTCCAACTGGTCTACCACAATCCTGTGTACAGGGTACTCCGAGTTGCCAATGGCAACGACAAATCTGACTCACACTGACTCTTTTATTGTGTATTTTCTCACAAGCCTCTCATGGAGAAGAGTCTGCAAGTTTTTGATTTTTGTATTTGACTTTTCCTAACACTCTTGTGGGAGAGAGAAAGTCTTTCGGCTATAATTATGAAAGTGCTTTGAGACTTGCGTATTAAAAATAGTGATCTTTTTCGCAGGTACAGTAGCTGCATGGAATTGTGTGTGTGTGTGTGTGTGTGTGTGTGCAGTAATGTACAGCTAGGGTTCTGTAGGTTCCTCCGCTTGACCTTTAGACTCAGCATGTGATTGAACATCGTCAACCTGGCTTTTTTCCTCTTCACCTTTGACCTGTGTAGTTGCCTCGGTCCCAGTTTCACCTTTCACCTCCTCATCTTTCCCAGCTTCTCCTTTCACCTTGGAATCCCTGTCTGCCTTTACTTCAACCGATGCAGCTGTCTTAGTCGGAGCTTTTGCCCCGTCAGTAGGCAGGACCACTTTTTCCTGTAAATTTAAATCTTTTACTTAATGATTACATCATTGGAAAGGGTTTACCACAGAGGTGTCATCATCTTCGCTCGCAGTACTGCTGTCTTCTTCCTCACGTTCCTTCAGAGGAGCCAGTGGAGCCACACCCCTCTGAGCTCCACCTGACACTGACTGAGGACACAAGGAAACCGGTTAGTTGGTCATCAAGAGTGAAGTGGTATTAATTACCGGTCTAAAGGTTCTCTGAGACCCGCCAGTAAATACTGATGGAGTAGGTGGAAATAGTGAACCCCCTGAAGGGGTCACCGGGGTTACTCGTGAAGTGCTGCGCTGTAGATGAGAACAAGAATTATTTGACGAAGAAGTTTAAAACGAACACAGAAGTCACATATTACTTCTATGTATGGGTTCGATTTCTCACATGTTTCATGCGTATAATTATAGAGGATATTACGGTATGTGCAGTACCTGTCACATATACATAACATAGAAAATCAGCCCGACTAAGCGGGCTCACTTCACTCGCCAAAATTGTTGCATTGACCAGTTACAGCAGACTGTGCCATAGAGTTGTGTGGTGTACGCTGGTGTTTACCTGGAAGGTGAGTGGAGGAGGTTTGGTGGGAGACGAAAAAGGCTCTGGACTACGAGGCACTCCAAGACCTGACTTCAGTGGAGGCAGCATTCCCCCCATCCCATCAGGCACCCCTGATACTGACTCTCGACCTGAGGGGGAGACGGGACCTGCTGTGAGTGGTATGGTGAGGAGGAGAACCAACCAAAGTGACCGGGTGTAAATCGATTGCTGGTGCTGATTTTGGACTGGTTCAACTCCTGGCGCAGTCGCTGGTTCTCCTGTTGCAGAGACATCAACGCCTGCTTCGAGTCACGCCCGACACACGGACAAACATAGTGACGAAATGTGTCGTTCTTGAACTTCCACAGTAGACCCAGCACCACGACAACCACTGTTTTCATGGCAACACAAGATTAGAGTAGTGTGACCTCGCAAGAGTCGGCATACGCAGTACTCACCAATGATACAGACGAGGATCAGAAGGACGATTACGATGGCTACTATTGCACCTGTACTTAGTCCTCCCCCTCCACTTTCTCTCACCCTCACATCGTCACATATCACCCCATCACTGCTCTCACACACTGCACCAAGCACACAGTGAACACTATAGCTAGAGTATGATAAACACCAAACCTGGAGCTTTGCATACAAACGGCATGTACAAGTTTTCGCAGAAATCCTCAGCGACTTGCCAGCCATTGTCAGTAAACTTGACACAATCATAATTGTCATTGTTGACATCTCCATTGCTGGAGGTAAAATTGGTGTAGGAAGGCTTGGACTTGTTGAAGGACCACCTGGAGAAGAGAGAGAGAGAGAGTGGAAAAGCAGTCAGCTACATCTGAGGGTGTCATTGACTCACCTGAAGTCCCCTTCATTTGCCTGGTCGTCCAGTCCCAGCCAGAACTCATCTTTATTGTGGCCAGAGAACATGTCTGTCCAGATGTAGCTGTCATAAGGAGTGTTAGCTGTAAGTCTTTAGGCTACATACATATGGAGTGTTAGCTGTAAGTCAGGGTACATACATATTATGGTATATTTATAAGTCTAAGTGGAGGCAATGCAACTAGATTCAAACTTATGACACTCAGCAATCTAAGTTTATAAGCGAGATCTCTATCAACTGAGCTATATACCAGGGCAACTCAGCAGGTATGCTACAACACAATACAAAGGCAAACCTCAAACGATTGTGCCATGGCATAGTACACTCTCACTCAGCATTTATTTTACATACGAGCGGAGCCTGACATGTAAACTCACCTATTCTCATCGACAGAATTGATGTAGAGCATGCCTGTTCCATACCCGTCTCGCACACAGCGCTCCGTGGCTTGGGAGTAGGTAGCAGAGCTGTCCACGTAGCGGTAGCAGAAACCTTGTCTCATGACGTAGCTGTCGTGGTGACAGATCAGCCTTCCCTCTGCAGCGAGAGACGCCCTCGCACAACCGTACACTTCAACTTCTTCTCTGTATGTCTCACCTGAAAGCATGCTGACGACGAGTAAGGAAACCAATTCCTTGATCATTTCTGCAGCTCCCTTTCTCTAGCTAGCTGTCCGATCCGCTATCCTGCAGGAGGGTGGGGGTGGGGCTTGTTTGTTTCTCCGTTACCACGGCAATAAGCCAATTCAGGGGGCCGGGGCCGGGGGCGGAGGTTTTTATGCTGAGATTGCTGTAAGAGGCCGAGTGTGAACGATGGCTGGTCGGGGAGAAGGCGGGCTAAGTGTACTGTGGTCGACCTCTCTACTACTGGTCGTGAAACTTCACCTGGTGAGCATAATAATATTCTCAGCTCGGGGATCGTGATTTGTGTTTAGACGATAGTTGGCTAGCTAGGTACCTAACTAAAGCATTTTCATCCGTCATTATACTCTTGGTAATGTAATCGTACTCAGCCGAAGGCCTCATAGTCTGTATTTACATGTGCAGGTCAGTGCTGAATTTTGCCAGAGCGAGCGAGCCAGCTGGCAGTAAGTCTCTATAATTATTATACTGCTACTACTGATAGACCAGAGGTGTATTGTTGATTGGTGGTAAAGGCAGCTCATTATGGTTGCAGGTGTGCGTGTGGCTGCTGTGAAGACTATGACTACTGCTGTGTCAGCTGTGCATCCTACTGGTATGCCTGGTGAGTGTCTGTCTCTTCTCATGTGCTGCCATTCAACTGCTGAGTTGAGGTTTACATCATCTCTTGTTCACTGTCTGTTCCTCACCTGGTCCTCAATAGCCTCTCTACAATGCATTGCTGTAGGCACGACAAGATTGTGTCAGTAATGCACAACAATCTACAACTGCAGGCTACTCTTAACACTGTTCTTCCTCGTCTGCATCTGCGCTTGTCTCGGCTGTGGTTCCTATGGTTACCGCAGATACAGACAACCACTGGGAATGTCATCATACATTGTTGGCCAAACTCCTCGTAAGCCACTCCCATTTTCTCATTCTACTTTAACCTCTTCTCCGTGGTATAGGCTCTACCTATGCTCCACCATCAGAAGCTGATAAACTGAATCAACGGCGGCCCTCCAGTTACCAACCCTACACTACCGTGACACCCGCAACTGGTCACCATGACTACCAGTACCCCACTACTGATACTGGGTACCATGGCAACCAATCAGAGATGCCTCCTCCATATAACCCCAGCCAGCCCCCACCTCCTTACTCTGCTCACTGACCACTTGTCAATCATTGTGTCATCGCACAACAATATTACAGTCAATCTGCACAAGATATAATTATCTCCACTACTGGGTGTGTTTTAATTAATTGGCAAACGAAGTGAGCCCACCTAGTCTCTTAAGTGCGAAATATTTTATATAATAGTTCTAGTTTAGTGGCTGTGACTATGATGTCAGGATGGCAAATTTCTCCTGTGTGGGTACGTGATTGATGACGAGTCGGCCATCGTAACTGAGAGAGGCAAAGACCCAGGCATCAGCACTGCTCCACACTGCCTCATACACGGAGTCCTCATGTTCCTCAAATGTTCTGATTACATCGTCTGTCATGGGGCTCGGGGGTCTGCAGGGGAGGACATGAATGATGTCATACACATATTCCCTCTCACCTCTCCTCGTCCTCCTCTCCCTCATCTGGTTCAATGTGTCTGAGAGGTTCAGAGGCAATGGACGGCAGGCGACTGAGGACAACCTGGCTGTCAGAGCTGGCCGTCAGGACCAACTGGTCGTGGAACAGGTTATACTGGACTGACCAGATCCTACAGCAGCACTCTATACACAGCTGGCAAAGCCACACCCACAGACTCACCAGTGGGAGTGGTCTTGTCGACAGAGAAGGGGTGTGGTCAGTTTCCGGGCGTCCCAAAACTTGGTTCTACAGTCATCTCCACAGGAGGCAAACACATGAGGTCTATTAGGATTGTAGTCCAGTCCCCTCACACATAGGCCATGGGGAGCATCCAATGAGAACGCCATCCTGTGTCACATGACAGTCACAAGACTCAACAAACGTCTAGATAAACAACACACAACCCTCAAACCATTTACAAAATGTTAGACATACTGTTGTGAGCGAAGGTCCCAGCAGTGAAGGGCAGAGTCACATGACACCAGCAACTGACTGTGGTTATGATGAGGATTCCAACAGGAACTGCAGTAACCATGACTACGACCTTTTCCGTCCAGCTGAACTGTACTCTGCACCTGAGACAAACAGTAAGTAAAATTAATTGCAGGACGAACAGCATAACAGGACGTTCAAAAATAAGAGAGAGAGAGAGAGAGAGAGAGAGAGAGAATGGTGGTATTACTGAAGCAGAGGCCTGCTCCAATGTCCAGAGTGTTGCTGTCTTGTCATCCACAGTGGCCAGTTGGCGACGAGATGAGGTTGGAGACCAAACTGAGCTGAGGAAAGATTTGAGTCTGATGTAAAGTGAGCCAGGAAGAAAACACTTGCCTAATGCAAAACACACACAATAGTATATATACATAATATATACAGCAAAAATGAGGTAAAATTTGTCTCCTCCTCCCCTAAGTGCAGTGAGAGCGAGATACTTACCATTTTGGGACTCCGTCATGGGTGAGAAGGCACACCTCTTGTAGTGTGCCTCCTTCCCCCTCTCCCTCTCCCTCCCCCTCCATTCTCCACACTCCCACACCTCCCTGGCAGTCCTCACCACCAACCTTCGAGAACACGGTGCTCACCAAGCAACTGTCGCCTGGACAACTAGCTATGTCCCACACCTCTCCTGAAACATGTACATTATTAGTGGTAGACTATATGCAATGAAATATTAGTAGGTTTTAAAGCACGAAAGTTTTTGTCACCAGAAATTTTCAGCCATGTAAAACAAACCTGCAGGGTGGGGGAAAGAAGTCCTATCCAATACTCCAGTGTCGTCATCGTAGTCCAGCATATGAACCTGCGAGCAGGACTTTCCTAACCACGGCTCATGCCAACCGTCTCCCTCCCGCACTGCACCTGATTCTCGTGACGGAGTCCCTGGGTCCCACACAGGAACTGGATCTTCTCCGTCTCGCCGCTCCTCGCCGCCAGAGCTCGAGCCGTGAACCCTCGACCCTGCAGCCGTCTTGAATGACCTCAGGCAACTCACTGGACTTCTCTTACTTGATGCTCCACGCCATAAATGACCGGTCCTCTCTCTGACATCTCGTCCACTTTTTCTTCTAGTCTCACACACACGTACACATGCGCACAACTAACCGGGCGCATGCGCACAACTCCACACACCAGGCATGTCTGCTCCTCGGCTGCTGCTGTGTGCAGGGAGAAGGTTAGGGGGAGAAAAGGGAGGGAGACGATGTACTGTGATTATGCAACACATCAGGAGCCAGACTAGCGGCTCTGAAGAGCCCGAGGTATGTATATACAGCGACTGGAATGTGATAGTTTATTGTTTGAGACTTGATATCATTCTCTGGCTGGGAACAAAAGAGACAATACCACAAATTCAGACAACTGAATGTGATAGTCAAACTGCCTCCACATCATGGAGCTTCTCCAATTATTCATTGTCTTGTCATTCAGACAACTGAATGTGATAGTCAAACTGCCTCCACCTCATGGAGCTTCTCCAATTATTCATTGTCTTGTCATTCAGACAACTGAATGTGATAGTCAAACTGCCTCCACCTCATGGAGCTTCTCCAATTATTCATTGTCTTGTCATTCAGACAACTGAATGTGATAGTCAAACTGCCTCCACCTCATGGAGCTTCTCCAATTATTCATTGTCTTGTCATTCAGACAACTGAATGTGATAGTCAAACTGCCTCCACCTCATAGAGCTTCTCCAATTATTCATTGTCTTGTCATTCAGACAACTGAATGTGATAGTCAAACTGCCTCCACCTCATAGAGCTTCTCCAATTATTCATTGTCTTGTCATTCAGACAACTGAATGTGATAGTCAAACTGCCTCCACGTCATAGAGCTTCTCCAATTATTCATTGTCTTTGTATTGATCAAACAAAAGAGCAACTGACCTTGGTGCATACAGGTTTCTTTCGAAGTAGATCATGTAGTAGCCCCCTTCCCCAGGCCTCCAAAAACGAGAAGGCAATGTGTCTTAATGTGCATGTGCACCATTCCCCACAATCTAGGGAAATCCGGTTACTTCATTAAATTTTCTCTGTACCATATAAATCTTATATGTGCTGGCCACGCTACTGCTTCGCATGTCAGCCTCGCTACTGGTCTCCAAAGACCAAAGACAATCGTTTGTGGACGCAAGAATACTTTGCACTTTGAAGAGCCCCGAACTGTGTACCGCAAACTTAGTGACAGTTTTACGGTAGTAAGATATCTTGCGCACATGGGGGGAAGGGATGCACGCATGGGGGAAGAGATGCACGCATGGGGGGAGGGATGTGCGCATGGGGGAAGAGATGCACGCATGGGGGGAGGGATGCACGCATGGGGGGAGGGATGCACGCATGGGGGAAGAGATGCACGCATGGGGGAAGGGATGTGCGCATGGGGGAAGAGATGCGCGCATGGGGGAAGAGATGCACGCATGGGGGAAGATATGCACGCATGGGGGAAGGGATGCACGCATGGGGGAAGAGATGCACGCATGGGGGGAGGGATGCGCGCATGGGGGAAGAGATGCACGCATGGGGGAAGGGATGTGCGCATAGGGGAAGAGATGCACGCATGGGGGGAGGGATGCGCGCATGGGGGAAGAGATGCACGCATGGGGGAAGGGATGTGCGCATGGGGGAAGAGATGCACGCATGGGGGAAGAGATGCACGCATGGGGGAAGAGATGCACGCATGGGGGGAAGGGATGCACGCATGGGGGAAGAGATGCGTGCATGGGGGAAGAGATGCGTGCATGGGGGAAGAGATGCACGCATGGGGGAAGGGATGCACGCATGGGGGAAGGGATGTGCGCATGGGGGAAGAGATGCGCGCATGGGGGAAGGGATGCACGCATGGGGGAAGAGATGCACGCATGGGGGAAGAGATGCGCGCATGGGGGAAGAGATGCACGCATGGGGGAAGAGATATGCTCATGGGGGAAGGGATGCGAGAATATGGGAAGACCATTGACTTTTTCCAGGTAGTGTTCAGAGATGTGTCCTCCAAGGAAGGGGGTGGAGCTTACAGGGAAATTCTTCTCAACCGTCGGAAGGCCCTGAATGCTCTAAACTGGAGCATGGCGTGCCTCATCCTGGACCATCTGAGGGCTGCTGCTGATGACCCCAATGTGCCTATGGTTGTGATAGAAGGTGGGTAGGCCCTCTCTCGTTCCGTGCACGTGTATAATGTGTGGCTACAGGAGCTGGTGAGAAGGCATTCTGTGCTGGAGGAGACATTCGTGCAGTCACAGAGGCCGGGAAGACAGGACAGCCACTGGCGCAGGAGTTCTTCAGGGACGAGTACCGACTGAACCACGCCATCGGTGTCTTTCCCAAACCCTACGTGGCTCTAATTGATGGGATAACGATGGGAGGAGGGGTGGGGCTCTCCGTCCACAGTCCCTTCCGCGTGGCGACTGAGCGGACGCTGTTTGCCATGCCAGAGACATCCATTGGGTTGTTTCCAGATGTTGGAGGTTCGTTCTTTCTTTCACGGCTGCCGGGTGGACTGGGCATGTTTCTCTCTCTCACTGGCCATCGTCTAAAGGGAAGAGATGTCTTCCATGCTGGAGTCGCCACCCATTTCGTCTCCACGACAACCCTTCCCACTCTGAGGGAGCGACTGGCAGCTCTCGGGCCACGCCTCTTGAACCTTGACCCCCGAGACCGACTCCACCTAGTGCACCAGCTGCTGGACTCTCTCCACCGTGACAGCGAGGGGGAATCCCCTCAGCCATTCTCACTGGAGACCTACAGACCTATTATAGACAGTGCCTTCAGCCAAGGAACAGTGGAGGAAATTGTAGCCTTTCTTCAGAGAGAGGGAGGAGAGTGGGGAGAAAAGCAGGCTGCTGTGTTGGCCAAAATGTCACCAACTTCGCTGAAAATTACCCACCGGCAGCTAATGAAAGGGGCAGAGCTAAGCAGTCTGGCAGAATGTCTGAAGATGGAGTACCGCATGAGTCAGTGGTGTATGAGAGGCCATGACTTCTATGAGGGAGTGAGAGCAGTTCTGGTCGACAGAGACAACCAGGCACAGTGGAATCCCTCTTCCCTCGGCGATGTTACGGAGGAAATGGTGTCGCGCCATTTCCAACCTTTACCTTCCCACTCTGAGTGGCAGTTGTAGAAGTGTTTCCATTTGTATAGCTGTTAAAAATAAATAAATACTTGTCATGAACATGCTGGGGTGCTTTTGGTGGTGGTTTGTATGACATCACATGCAACAAAGAACGAGTGTTTGGAGGTGACGATCTCTGCTGTGTGTGAGAGAACAGTGTACTTCATCTCTCCCCTATGTGTGGAGGGAAAGAGACAGAGTTATGATTAGAAGAGGGAGTCTGTGGTCACTCACATGGCGAACATGGACAGGCAGTGCTGCCAGTCTCCTCCAGTACATAACGACCTATATGTTCAGAAGACATGCTGTTTCAGCACATATTTTGGGAAACAAAAAGGTAATCCCCCCTTTCTTACAACATTCAACAAGTCCAGGGGTACTTTGTATAATTCTCCCAACACTTGTAAACTCACCTAACTTTGGAAGCCAAATCATCAGTGAATGTAGCATTCTGCTCAACCGTAGTCTGTATTGTACACACCACATTATGACTGCTGAAACAAACTGAACCTGGTATGTATATAGTACTAACGGTTGAGTCCTGTCGTGGTCCAATGGAAAATGGCCCAGTCTGTTTGTCCCCGACCTGAGTCTGACTGTTGAAGAGAGATATGTTCAGCCACTGAACCTCAAGACGAAAGAAGTTGTTGTTCTTTATCCGCACACGAGTCTAGTGTGAAGAGAATGAGGATTAGTTTGGCCCACAGGGAGGGAATTTCCCCTCACCTCCATCAAGATAGAGACACCAGAGGCGTTGTGGAGAGGGCTCCATTCTGTGCTGGAGTTCATGGCCAGGAGAGAGATGGAGGCCGCTCGGGGGAACATGAAGGCCAATAAAACACCTCCACACACCAGCAGTACCACCAGAACTATCGACACATACACACACCTACACCACACACACAAAAGAGTCTCGCTGGGTGGATCATGTGACAATCATGTGACTCACCATCTCCTGCGTGGCTTCAATCTCTTGTCGGAGTATGGGATAAGGGCAACTAGCTGCTCGTTCTGACCTGCACAAATACAAACACACCTTTCGTCGCAGTTCAACCAGAAACCGAAAGGACAACACGTAACTGACTCATGTAGTTATGCATACATATACTAGTGTATACCTAAAAGACGGCCTCACACCAAAAAAGGATATTCCAAATAATAATGAACAACTCTCTAAACTGTGGCTGAATAAAGGACTCCTTTTCTCCCCTCACCTCGTGGCAGTCTGCCTGTCCCTCTGCATGTGGGACACTCCACACCACCGGACATCAAATCCAGCAGCCCTGGTCTCCAGGAGCCTGCAGAGGCACGTGACCCAGTCCTAGACGGAGTGGCCGCTGGGACGGCAGGAAGAGGGGTCTGGACGGACGGTCTCTGCTTAGAGACGTCGAGACTTTCGTCAGAATCGTCCGTGTCCTCTCTGAACCGTGACTTATCCATTCTCACCACTCTGCAGCGGGGCCTCTGGCGGCCTCTGGAGAGCTCGAGCTCAGCTGTTGACTCTGTTTAGCTTTTGTTTATTTGGACAAACTAGCTCAGTCACCGACACTGCGCTCCATTTGGAATAATTAACCCTCGGCGGCGCGCATGCGCATCGAGAGTTTACTTGGTCTGTCTGTACTGTCCGTCTGTTACCACGATTTCTGCCACCACGCGCAACAAACAGGTAAAATAGCGACACCAGCGGGTTCAGAGCTACACTGCTTATATTTAAAACAGGCGATTTTCGTAAAAAGTGCGCGTTCAGAAGTTATGGCGTGAAAACTAAGGGCCGAAACAAGCGCTGGGGCGTGGGGCGTGTGTGGACACTGACTAAGGGGTGTGGGTGTGAACTTTTTGGGTGGGTTGGGAGGGGTGTGAACATAGCCAATTGCGCATTAGCCTGGCACCTCGGACTGATCCGCTTGCTCTGCTGTACTCGGAGGCACATGAAGCACAACGAGGGCGTGTATCGACTCCCGCATGCTATCTACTACTGTAGGCTAGCCCGTGTCAGACTCTCCGCGTGCATGCTACTAGCGCGAGCGGGAGATCACGAGTATACTAATATAATAGGCTCAGCCCGCCCATCAAGTAGCGGTGGTACCGCACATCGCGCAGTTCGCGCAGGAGTGTGCACTTTAGTGGTGCAGCAGCACGAGAGGTTGTGGCATGTGGCATGGCTGCAAGGCGAGAAGGAGCGAGTGTTGTAGCGTATAGACCGACCTGTGGCTGTGTCAGTCATCACTATTCTCACATCGCCCGATTAGGTAGCATCCTTTGTTAGTGAAGCATCATTACATGCACGATCCGTCAACTATCGTTTCCACAGGTGCAAGATGCTTGATCTAGCTGGACCAAGTGAGGGGTGTGGCGTTTTGTCATAAATTTTATTCTGTTTCAGCTACAGTTTACAGGATCGACGATGGCAAGGATGGGTTTTTGGGGGCAATCCTACAACCTATACCCTCTCTACCTCCTAAGTTTTTATTATCCCCTCCTTAATTCCCCTTCTTTCCTACTTACCTCTCCTTCCCGTCCTCCTTTACCTTTCCTCCCTCATCTGTTATAAGATCTCAGAAAATGTGTCAAAGAACCCGACGACCCGGATAGCAAATTGAGAAGTACTTGAACCGCATGATCATCTGTGGGTTGTGCTGCCTGTACACCTGCCCCGTCGGCGCCCACGTATCATACACCTGGTTAAAACCCGGTAAACTGAAATCTTATTAAGACTGATGAAGAAAGTTGTATGAACTCAGGAGGTTGGTAATGTCGGCTGTTGCGATAATTATGCCAGCTGTTGAAATTGTCAGGTCCCGTGTCGGAAAGTCATCACTCCGTTACAGCCCCGTTCATGGAGGAATGCTACCTCCTGGCTCCAGACCCTTCCACGCTTTCATGTTGCACTAAAGTTTTTCAATTTGACTTCATCAACATAATTCCATGATAGCGCCAGTGAAAGACCTCCCCGGCTCTGTGTCCTTTATCCTAACCTCCCAATCTTTAGATAAGCCCTCTCTCTATATTCTGCCCACCTTTATTGTGTCTTCCCTCTCTAGGCCCACCTTAGTCTCGCTAAAGGATTAATTCTTGAGGCGTTCTGCGAGCCCAGCCCACGTAGACGTGACCCAGCCCATCCCCCTCCCAGAGCCACATCAGACAGAAGGCCTTCTACACCTTCTCTCTCACCGCGTCCTCCACTGACCTTTTCCTCAAACATAGATGCCTACGCTATAATAATAATTATGCACCACCAGATGAACACAATAATACCCCTGGTGCTACACAAAAGGCTTGATTCAGTCGTGTTGCTCTCAATGCAGTCGCACTCCAGTTTGCTCTGCTCCCCCTCCCTATGACAATTCACCATCAAGCAATCTGGCTGAATACGACAAATTAATACTACTAGTAATGGACTTGTTTTACATGCGTCATTGACTCGGAGACGTGCACTCGATACCCTCATGATTCACACGTTTCAGTACTACCTTGCTTTCTTTTGTCCTGACCATTTCATATCTGGGCTCCATATGGAACTTCTCTATCTTTCCTTTTGGCATCTTGTGAAAAGGCAGTCTTTTGTCTGCATCGCCTCTCCCCGTCACTCGGCCCCGTGACGAGCTTCTGCATCTGAGGTACAGCTAGTGAACAGTACCACTGCAACCCATTCTTTCCGACACATCTATCCTTGCCCAGAAGAGTAATGTAACCGTAGGAAGCACAGTAGCGCGGTAGCTTCAGTTTGCTTCCCCCCCCCCCTCTCCCCCCC